TGAGGCTGACAATGGTGGAATGCACTGACGGCTCCAGTTTCTTCCCCTCCAAGTGTCCATGCCCTTGCAATGGTGCTCTGCAGCTCCTCTTGAAGAGCTTGTATCCATCCCTTGGTTCTTGGTTCTGGGGTGGCCTTGAGATTGGCTGTGGTCCACGGGATACTAGCAAATGTGATACAAGCAGAGTTGAAAAAGTGTTTGTACACTGGGGCTTGCCTACTTACAGTGCCCAGAACTGCACAGCCACTTGAACAGGGCTGGGCGAACTGATGAGCTACATGGTCCACTCACCTCCGCTTCCCAGCAGACCTACCTTCTAGCAACCACATATGGTGAGTGAGCCCACCAAGACCAGCATGCCTAGGCCAAACCAGAAGGACTGTCCGGTTCAAATTGCTGACTTACAATAACCTAAAAAAAGGTTATTTTAAGCCACTAAGTTCTGGGGTCTTTTCTTATGCAGTAAAGCTAACTGACTTGCTAGGTTGGGGAAGTTGTCCTGGATAATATCCTGAAGAGTGTTGTCCGACTTGGTTCCATTCTCCCTGTCACTTTCAGGCACACCAATCAAACGTAGATGTGGTCTTTTCACATAGTCCCATATTTCTTGGAGGCTTTGTTCATTTCTTTTCATCATTCTTTTTTCTCTAATTTTGTCTTCTTACTTTATTTCATTAAGTTGATCTTCAATCTCTGATATCCTTTCTTCTGCTTAATCGATTTGGCTACTGATACTTGTGTATGCTTCATGAAGTTCTCATGAGTGTTTTTCAGCTCTGTCAGATCATTTGTTTTCCTCTAAACTGGTTATTCTAGTTAGCAATTCATCTAACCATTTTTCAATGTTTGTAGCTTCCTTGCATTGGGTTAGACCTGCTCCTTTAGCTTGAAGGAGTTTGTTATTACCCACCTTCTGAAGCCTACTTCTGTCAATTTGTCAAACTCATTCTCCACCCAGTTTAGTTCCCTCGCTGGCAAGGAGTTGTGATCCTTTGGAGAAGAAGAGGCGTTCTGGTTTTTGGAATTTTCAGCCTTTTTTTTTTTTTGCTGGTTTCTCCCCATCTTTGTGGATTTATCTACCTTTGGTCTCTAATGTTGGTGACCTTTGGCTGGGGTCTCTGAGGGGATGTCCTTTTTGTTGATGTTGACGGTATTCCTTTCTGTTTGCTTGTTTTCCTTCTAACAGGCCCCTCTGCTGCAGGTCTGCTGGAGTTTACTGGAGGTCCACCCCAGACCCTATTTGCCTGGGTATTACCAGCGGAGGCTGCAGAACACCAAAGACTGCTGCCTGTTCCTTCCTCTGGAAGGTTCATCCCAGAAGGGCACCTGCCAGATGCCACCAAGAGTTCTCCTGTATGAGGTGTCTGTCAGCCCCTACTGGGAGGTGTCTCCCAGTCAGGATACACAAGGGTCAGGGGCCCACTTGAGGAGGTAGTCTGACCCTTATCAGAGCTCAAATAGGCAAAAATTTGAAGCATTCCCTTTGAAAACCGGCACAAGACAAGGATGCCCTCTCAGACCACTCCTACTCAACATAGTATTGGAAGTTCTGGCCAGGGCAATTGGGCAAGGGAGAGAAATAAAGCATATTCAAATAGGAAGAGAGGAAGTCAAATTGTCTGTTTGCAGATGACATGATTTTATATTTAGAAAACCCCATCATCTCAGCTCAAAATCTCCTTAAGCTGATAAGCATCTTCAGCAAAGTCTCAGGATATAAAATCAATGAGCAAAAATCACAAGCATTCCTATACACAAACAGAGAGCCAAATCATGAGTGAACTCCCATTCACAATTGCTACAAGAGAATAAAATACCTAGGAATACAACTTCCAAGGGATGTGAAGGACCTCTTCAAGGAGAACTACAAACCACTGCTCAAGGAAATAAGAGAGGACACACACAAATGGAAAAACATTCCATGCTCATGGATAGGAAGAATCAATATCGTGAAAATGGCCATACTGCCCAAAGTAATCTATAGATTCAGTGCTATCCCCATCACGCTACCATCAACTTTCTTCACAGAATTGGAAAAAAGTACTTTAAATAGCCCACACAGCCAAGACAATCCTAAGCAGAAAGAACAAAGCTGGAGGCATCACGCTACCTGACTTCAAACTATACTATAAGGCTACAGTAACCAAAACAGCATGATACTGGTACCAAAACAGACATACAGACCAACAGAACAGAACAGAGGCCTCAGAAATAACACCACACATCTATAACCATTGTTTTGACAAATCTGGCAAAAACAAGCAATGGGGAAAGGAATACCTATTTAATAAACGGTGTTGGGAAAACTGGCTAGCCATATGCAGAAAACTGAAACTGGACCCCTCCCTTAAACCTTATACAAAAATTAATTCAAGTTGGATTAAAGACTTAAACATAAGACCTAAAATCATAAAAATCCTAGCAGAAAACATAGGCAATACCATTAAGGACATAAGCACGGGCAAAGACTTCATGACTAAAACACCAAAAGCAATGGCAACAAAAGCCAAAATTGACACGTGGAATCTAATTAAACTACAGAGCTTCAGCACAGCAAAAGAAGCTATCATCAGAGTGAACAGGCAACCTACAGAATGAGAGAAAATTTTTGCAATCTATCCATCTGACACAAGGCTAATATCCAGAATCTACAAAGAACTTAAATTTACAAGAAAAAAACAAACAACCCCATCAAAAAGTGGGTGAAGTTTATGAACAGACACTTCTCAAAAGACGACATTTATGTGGCCAACAAACATATGAAAAATTGCTCATCCTCACTGGTCATTAGAGAAATGGAAATCAAAACCACGATGAGATACCATCTCACACCAGTTAGAATAGCCATCATTAAAAAGTCAGGAAACAACAGATGTTGGAGAGGATGTGGAGAAATAGGAATGCTTTTACACTGTTGGTGGGAGTGTAAATTAGTTCAACCATTGTGGAAGACAGTGTGGCAATTCCTCAAGGATCTAGAACCAGAAATACCATTGGGCCCAGCCATCCCATTACTGGGTATATACCCAAAGTATTATAAATCATGCTACTATGAAGACACATGCACACATATGTTTATTGAGGCACTATTCACAATAGCAAAGACTTGGAACCAATCCAAATGTCCATACATAATAGACTGGATTAAGAAAATGTGGCACATACATACCATGGAATACTATGCAGCTATAAAAAAGAATGAGTTCATGTTCTTTGCAGGGATATGGATGAAGCTGGAAACTGTCATTCTCAGCAAACTAACACAGGAACACAAAACCCAACACCACATGTTCTCATTCATAAGTGGGAGTTGAACAACGAGAACACACAGACACAGGGAAGGGAACATCACACAATGGGGCCTGTCGAGGGGGTGGGGGACTAGGGGAAGAATAGCATTACGAGAAATACCTAATGTAGATGACGGGTTGATGGGTGCAGCAAACCACCATGGCATGTGTATACCTATGTAACAAACCTGCACGTTCTGCACACATACCCCAGAACTTAAAGTATAATAATAATAAACCTCGAATGAGAGAGAGAGAAAAAAAAAGCTAACTGATACAAGTACCAGACCAGACAGTGTCCATTTTGAAGATGGGGATGTGTCTTATTCAGTCTTTGTATCTCCTTTCCCTAAAAACACTGTAACCATTCAATATGTATATGTGGAACTGGGTAGAAATGGCCCCTTGAAAAGGCTGCAATTAAACCCCTTTTTCTCAAGGCTACTCAGTCAATCAGGAGGGATTCCAGTGCACCCAGGATTCCACTTCCACATTTTTATAAAATGGGCTTCAAAATACCTACCTTGTCACGCTCTTGTGGTTGTTAAAGATACTGTGTGCTTTGGAGATGTCCCTGACACACAATAGATGGCAGCTCCAGCAGAAACCAGCTTATGGAAAGGCTTTAGAACTCATCAGCATGCAGGAGATTGTGCATTTTTTTTAATATCAAACTGGTCACGATGTGTTCAGCCTAAGAGGACTCCAGTTTCAAGTCTTCAGCTTTCTCTGTTGCAGAAGTAAGGTTGGTTCCTTCACGCTCCACCAGACATCCATGTGCCGTTCTAACAGTGCCTGGTCAGAGGACTCGCGGCGCCCTCCAGGAAAGATGGGGAGGGCTCCTGAGCGGGACTCAGGAATGTGGGTTTTGCTGCTCTGGATTCTGCCACCACCCATTTCCTTGCGTGTGAAATAAAGTGTGGATGACTGCATGCTCTGTAAGAATCCTTTCAGCTCTAGGAATCCAAGGGCTTCAGTTACCGCCAGAGTGTCACCTAAGCGTGAGGGGCTGCACTGCTCACAGGATCACTGAGCCATAAGAGAATTTACATGTCTAGGAGTGGAGAAAAAAAGGTTTTCTGTATTTGTCTAAAGCAGAAAGGCAGAAAAACAGGCCAAAGAATTAGGAAATAATAAAGAGGGAAAAGAAAGCAAGCAAGTCTGATTTGAGCTGGGATGCGAGAACCTTGCTTGCTGCAGGATAATGGAGCTTTATGCTCTGAAAACCACACTCACATGCTCACATGCTGAACCACACATTTGGGTAATTACAGACAAAATTTCAAGGAAAAAAAAGACATACACAAGGAGTTATAAAATGCTGTTGAGGAAGGTTTACACAAAGAGCTGTGAGACATTCGAAAAACTGGTTTTTGACATTAAGACTTCCTATCCTTTTCTAATAATATCTAAAATGGCTTCCTCCTTTGTGTTGGAGATGCATTTGGAAGTAAATAACAAACACAAACATCATTTATCACAAAGAGCAAAAGACATCTCAAAATTCTGCTTCTTGCCAAAATGGACATGAAATTTTTGCTGGGAAGCAAATGTGAAAATAGTGACTTTTATCTAATTATCCCTACATGTATCCAAAAAGAAAGTTATAACTTATTTTGTCATGCTTGTAATAGGATTTTCTGTCTTGAATGTTGGTATTTTAAACATTAAAATCGCCAATGAGTAAGCAAATAAGACAATTACCAGATGGCATCCTCAACCAAATGTTTTGAATTTATTATAATCGTGCTTCACTACAACTAATGATTCTTGTGGTTTGCAAACAATGTCTGCCTTTATTTACCTACACAAACACAGAAGAGAATTTCCAATAGGAGAGGTTTACACAGCAAACAAAGTATAGAGTGTGTGACCTCAATAAGGCATTCAACGAAGACACACGCCATCCTTCCCTCTGACTGGGTTCCCTTAGGATGCCCTGATGTTGGCGTCGCATTCTTCTAAAAGTAGAATCAAATCTTCAATCAGGCTGTGTTCTCTGCCATGTGTCACTCTCATAATATCAAAAGCCTAAAGAGAAAGGACGGAAGACAGATTAGACCCCAAAATAGGTGAGCTCAGGCCATTCCCCACCTTTACCCCATGATGCCAGGGGCCTGGTGAATCCCATAGGTTTACAGGGTGAACAGTCTTTAATGGGCCCACAGCACTGTGGTTCTCCCAGCTAGAAAGTCACATGACAAGGGTGATTTCTGAATGTGGGGTTTGGAAAGTAGACTATTTGAGTCATGCTTGGGCCCAGTGACCATCGATCTTCAAAGACTGTCAGTGCACAGGTTTGGTGGGTAGTTACAAGGGTAAGAAGAGTTACCAAAACGATTGAGTCATATGGAAGACCATGCTGCTACCATCTGAAAATTTTTCTTTACTGCATACTCCATTCATTTCTCATCTATATGCACTGGGATTATTATATACATGTATTCTTGCATTTTTTTCATATTATACTATAGCACTGGCATTTTGACAGTCCTCTCCTTCACTCCCCATATTTAGTCCATTACTACATCTTGTCAACTCTATCTCCAAAATATTGCTGAAATCTGTGTGGGCCTAAAACTACTTCAATAATAGAGTACAATAGAAGTAAAGTGACTGACTTGTGAGACTAGGTCAAAAAGGCCTCTGTGTTGTTCACTGGTCAGTATGTTTGCTCCCAGAGCCAAGAGACTCCATGCTGTAAGGAAGCCCAAGCCACACAGAGGGAGGCCGTGTACAGGCACTCTGGCTGGCAGTCTTCGCCGAGCTCATCTTTCAAGGCATTCTAGACAAGGCACCAGACATGTACACAAATAAACCTTCAGACGATTCCAGCACCCAGCTGAAGACTGCCAGATCTGTCTTCCCAGATGGAACACCAGACGTTGTAGAAAAGAAGAAAGCCATTCTTATGCTGTATGCAAATTCCTGACCCACAGAATTTGTGTGATAATTTTGCTGTTGTTCACTCCATTAAGTTTTGGGATGGTTATGGAACAACAAAAAACCAGAGTATCCTCAAAAATACTTTTGAAGGACAGGGTTCCAAAATGGCCGAATAGGAATAGCTCCAGTCTACAGCTCCCCGAGTGAGCAACACAGAAGACGGGTGATTTCTGCATTTCCAACTGAGGTACCAGACTCATCTCACTGGGGCTTGTCGGACAGTGGGTGCAGCCCACTGAGCATGAGCCAAAGCAGGACGAGGCATCGCCTCACCTGGAAAGTGCAAAGGGTCAGGGAATTCCCTTTCCTAGCCAAGGGAAGCTGTGACAGACGGCATCTGGAAAATTGGGTCACTCCCACCCTAATACTGTGCTTTTCCAACAGTCTTAGCAAATGGCACACCAGGAGATTATATCCCGCACCTGGCTTGGAGGGTCCCATGCCCACGGACCCTCACTCATTGCTAGCACAGCAGTCTGATAGAACTGCAAGGCAGCAGCGAGACTGGGGGATGGGCGCTTGCCATTGCTGAGGCTTGAGTAGGTAAACAAAGTGGCTGGGAAGCTTGAACTGGGTGGAGCCCACCACAGCTCAAGGAGGCCTGCCTGCCTCTGTAGACTCCACCTCTGGGGGCAGGGCATAGACAAACAAAAGGCAGCAGAAACCTCTGCAGACTTAAATGTCCCTGTCTGACAGCTTTGAAGAGAGTAGTGGTTCTCCCAGCATGGAGTTTGAGATCTGAGAACGGACGGACTACTTCCTCAAGTGGGAACCTGACCCCTGAGGAGCCTAACTGGGAGGCACTCCCCAGTAGGGGCAGACTGACACCTCACACGGCCGGGTACCCCTCTGAGACAAAGCTTCCAGAGGAATGATCAGGCAGCAAAATTTGCTGTTCAGCAATATTTGCTGTTCTGCAGCTTCCGTTGCTGATACCCAGGCAAACAGGCTCTGAAGTGGACCTTCAGCAAACTCCAACAGACCTGCAACTGACAGTCCTGACTGTTAGAAGGAAAACTAACAAACAGAAAGGACATCCACACCAAAACCCCATCTGTACCTTACCATCATCAAAGACCAAAGGTAGATAAAACCAAAAAGATAGGGAAAAAAAAAAAGCAGAAAAGCTGAAAATTCTAAAATCAGACCACCTCTCCCCCTCCAAAGGAACACAGCTCCTCGCCAGCAATGGAACAAAGCTGGATGGAGAATGACTGTGACGAGCTGAGAGAAGGTTTCAGATGATCACACTTCTCCAAGCTAAAGGAGGAAGTTCGAATCCATCACAAAGAAGCTAAAAACCTTGAAAAAAGATTTGATAAATGGCTAACCAGAATAACCAGTGTAGAGAAGTCCTTAAATTGCCTCATGGAGCTGAAAACTATGGCACAAGAGAACAACGTAATGAATGCACAAACTTCAAAGGCCAATTCGATCAACTGGAAGAAAGGGTATCAGTAACTGAAAATCAAATGAATGAAATGAAGCAAGAAGAGAAGTTTAAAGAAAAAAGAGTAAAAAGAAAAGAACAAAGCCTCCAAGAAATATGGGGCTATGTGAAAAGACCAAATCTACATCTGATTGGTGTACCTGAAAGTGACAGGGAGAATGGAACCAAGTTGGAAAACACTCTGCAGCATATTATCCAGGAGAACTTCACCAACCTAGCAAGGCAGGCCAACATTCAAATTCAGGAAACAGAGAGAGCCCTACAAAGCTACTCCTTGAGAAGAGCAACTCCAAGACACATAATTGTCAGATTACCAAAGTTGAAATGAAGGAAAAAATGTTAAGGGGACCAGACAGAAAGGCTGGGTTACTCACAAAGGGAAGCCCATCAGACTAACAGTGGATCTCTCGGCAGAAACTCTATAAGCCAGAAGAAAGTGGGGGCCATTATTCAATATTCTTAAGGGAAAGAAGTTTCAACTCAGAATTTCAAATCCAGCCAAACTAAGTTTCGTAAGTGAAGGAGAAATAAAATCCTTTACAGACAAGCAAATGCTGACAGATTTTGTCACCACCAGGCCTGCCCTACAAGAGACCCTGAAGGAAGCACTAAACATGGAAAGGATCAACCGGTACCAGCCACTGAAAAACATGCCAAAACATAAAGACCATCAACGCTAGGAATAAACCACATCAACTAACGAGCAAAATAACCAGCTAACATCATAATGACAGAATCAAATTCACACATAACAATATTAACCTTAAATGTAAGTGGACTAAATGCTCCAACTGAAAGACACAGACTGGCAAATTGGATAAAGAGTCAAGTCCCATCAGTTTGCTGTATTCAGGAGACCCATCTCACACGCAGAGACACACAAAGGCTCAAAATAAAGGGATGAAAAAGATCTACCAAGCAAATGGAAAACAAAAAAAGGCAGGGGTTGCAATCCTAGTCTCTGATAAAACAGACTTTAAACCAACAAACATCAAAAGAGACAAAGAAGGCCGTTACATAATGGTAAAGAGATCAATTTAACAAGAAGAGCTAATTATACTAAATATATATGCACCCAATACAGGAGCACCCAGATTCATAAAGCAAGTCCTTAGAGATCTACAAAGAGACTTAGACTCTCACACAATAGTAATGGGAGACTTTAACACCCCACTGTCAACATTAGACAGATCAACGAGACAGAAAGTTAACAAGGATATCCAGGAATTGAACTCAGCTCTGCACCAAGCGAACCTAATAGACATCTACAGAACTCTCTACCCCAAATCAACAGAATATACATTCTTCTCAGCACCATATCACACTTATTCCAAAATTGACCACATAGTTGGAAGTAAAGCACTCCTCAGCAAATGTACAAGAACAGAAATTATAACAAACTGTCTCTCAGACCACAGTGCAATCAAACTAGAACTCAGGATTAAGAAACTCACTCAAAACCGCTCAACTACATGGAAACTGAACAACCTGCTTCTGAATGACTACTGGGTACATAACGAAATGAAGGCAGAAATAAAGATGTTCTTTGAAACCAATGAGAACAAAGACACAACATACCAGAATCTCTGGGACACATTTAAAGCAGTCTGTAGGGGGAAAAGTATAGCACTAAATGCCCACAAGAAAAAGCAGGAAAGATCTAAAATTGACACCCTAATGTCACAATTAAAAGAACTGGAGAAGCAAGAGCAAACACATTCAAAATCTAGCAGAAGGCAAGAAATAACTAAGATCAGAGCAGAACTGAATGAGATAGAGATACAAAAAAACCCTTCAAAAAATCAGTGAATCCAGGAACTGGTTTTTTGAAAAGATCAACAAAACTGACAGACCGCTAGCAAGACTAATAAAGAAGAAAAGAGAGAAGAATCAAATAGACACAACAAAAAAATGTGTAAAGGGGATATCACCACCAATCCCACAGAAATATAAACTAGAATCAGAGAATACTATAAATACCTCTATGCAAATAAACTAGAAAATCTAGAAGAAATGGGTAAATTCCTGGACACATACACCCTCCCAAGACTAAACCAGGAAGAAGCTGAATCCCTGAATAGACCAATAACAGGCTCCAAATTGAGGCAATAATTAATAGCACACCAGCCAAAAAAAGTCCAGGACCAGACAAATTCACAGCTGAATTCTACCAGGGGTACAAGGTGGAGCTGGTACCATTCCTTCTGAAACTACTCCAAACAATAGCAAAAGAGGGAATCCTCCCTAACTCATTTTTTGAGGCCAGCATCATCCTGATACCAAAGCCTGGCAGAGACACAACAAAAAAAGGGAATTTTAAACCAATATCCCTGATGAACATCGATGCAAAAATCCTCAATAAAATACTGGCAAACTGAATTCAGCAGCACATCAAAAAGCTTATCCACCATGATCAAGTGGGCTTCATCTCTGGGATGCAAGGCTGGTTCAACATATGCAAATCAATAAACGTAATCCAGCATATAAACAGAACCAAAAACAAAAGCCACATGATTATCTCAATAGATGCAGAAAAGGCCTTTGACAAAATTCAACAGCCCTTCAGGCTAAAAACTCTCAATAAATTAGGTGTTGATGGAACATATCTCAAAATAATAAGAGCTATTTATGACAA